GGGGTGGGGGTGGGGGTGGGGGTGCCACCATCTCGTATGTGATAAGTTCACTAAATCCATATAAATTCTATTTTCAGTGAAAGTTTTCAACAATCTTTTGAATTTTACAAAAGTTTATAAAAGTTTTAAAATGAAAGTCTATAAAAGTTCATAAAAGACTTCCATTAATTCCATACAAATCTATAAAAAATCCACGAAATTCACAGAAGTCATTACTTATCAAAGTTTTCAAATATCTCAATTGAATGCACCATCTTTAGTTCTTATTCTTTTTTTGAACAAATTTAGAGGGTGTTTAACACCCATTTTTTGGAGTAGAGAATTTTTTGAATAGTGATTGATGGAAGAATGTGTGGTGGAAAAGTTATGAAAAATTTTAGATTTGTGTGTAATATTATTTTATTGGGAGAATGTGTGGATGAAATGAAGAAAGAGAAAAAAATGAACATGAGAATGAGAATGAGAACGAGATGAGAATGGGTGCCAAACAGGGGGCTTAGAGTGTGTCGATCCTCATTTATTTTTTTTAAATAGAGATTTTATAATAGTGATTTTTTAAAAAATGTGTTGTTAAAAATAATTACATGTAAAATTATTTTATTATGAGAATATATAACTGAAAATGAGTTTTAAAAAAAAATGTGTTTTAATAAAATGAAACTCAAGCAAGGGATTAGAGTACAGTTTTCAATGTTGCTGTTGTGATATCAATTTCACGACATTACAATAACCTTTGGTGATTATGTAGAATCGGTTACGACATGATTGTCAATAAGGGTGGGCATAGATTGAGTTTGGTTGATTTTTGCTTCAGTTCAAACTCAATCAAACATGATCGATTTGATCTCAATTTGACTCAATCCAACACAACCCCGTGTAAAAGTTGAAACCCAACCCAACTCAATATCGGTCGGATTGGGTTGGATTAGTCGATTTTGGACAGCTTATACAAAGATTAAAATCATTCAATTTTCTATTATACTAAATTCGAATAGACAAGATTAAATAGTAAATAAATAAATAAAATTATTTATTATCTTATTCAATTCTTGTTAGTCGAGTCTATAAAAACAAAATGCATTATTTTTAAAGTAGACGGGTCAGGTTGAACGGGTTTATTCAATTTTCATGAGTTAACTCATAACTCGACCTAACTCAACTCTCCTACACAGCAAAAAACCTGAACCCACTTAAAAATAACAAAAAAAAAAAAATCGACTCAAACTGATCGGATTCGTTCTTTTTGATCGATTTTGGCGAGTTCGATCGGATTTTGCCCACCCCTAATTGTCAACTTAGCAATTATCGTTAATTTGAGGGACAATAGGTGTATAATGAGATAAAGCTGTGAAATTTGAAATTAAACTGAAATTCTATTACCCAGCCTAGATTTCACTAAAGGTCCGTTTGATTACAAGGGTGAAATTTTTTTTTTTTTGATAACCGTAAATGTCCGAGTCAGTTTGCTCACACCTCGACTAATTCCACGGGATAATTACAAGGGTGAAAAATTGGTGGAAAGAAAATGAATTTCAAGGAAAATAATTGCATAAAACTTGTTTTCTAGGGTGAAAAATGGGTATAATTTTCCACCAAATTTTTTTTAAAATTTTGAATCTTTTTGTTCACGTTTGGCTTCATTTTATATAGAAATTGTTCATTAAAGTGATTTTTTTTTTCAATTGGTTATGAGGGTGTGTTTGAATCATATTATTTTGGAAGAATGTATTTTGAAATAGTAGATTGATGGAGAATGTGTGGTTGAAAAAGAAGAAAAGGTTATTGATGTGATGAAAAATATTATTTTATTGAAAAATGTGCGGTTGAAAATGAGTAGAAAAATAAGAATGAGAATTTTAATTTGACTCAAACAGGAGCTGAAATTTGTTACCATTGCCAAAAAATAATAAAAAAAAAAATTTGCTCGAAAACTATTTTTGCACCATTTTTTCATCAAAGTTTAATGTTCGTTTGATTTCGTTTTACATGAAAATTGTTCATTAAAGTGAAATTTCTTTTTACAACTAGTTATGAAATTTATTTCCATTACACAAAAAAA